AGCGCCGCCGCGCGCCCCTACCCTCCGCCAGCCGCCGGCAGAACCCGGCGAACTTGGACTTGTCGAAGGTGCGGTAGAGGTGCGTGAGCAGGCCCAGGCGGTCGGAGACCTGCGCGGGCCGTGGGGCGGTGAGCGCCGGGCCGTGGGGCGGTGGGCGCCGCGCGTCCCCGCCATCCCCGTCCCCGCGCGCACCTCGAAGTACTCGAGCATGGCCTGCCTGACATAGGCCACGTCGTGCGGCGGCGCCTCCAGGTTGTCCATGCTGTCGAAGACCGTCTTGACGGCGCGGTGCGCGATCCAGTAGGCTGCGGAGCGGGCGCCGCGGTGAGGGCGGCGGGCGCCACGTGGGACCCGCCCCGGGCACCCGGTGCCGGCCTCACCTGAGCCCTCGTCGCCCAGCATGTGGCCCCAGCCGCCGCAGCCCACCTCGGAGCCGTCGGGGTTGATGAGCTTGCAGTTGGAGCCGGTGCCCGCGATGAGCACCACGCCGCCTGCGGGCACGCGAGCGGCACGGGGCGCGTGGTGCGACACCTTCCTCCGCGGCACTCCTCATCCTCAGCCCGAAGTGCTCCTCACCCTCAGCCCCAAACCCCCCCTTCCTCAGCCCCAAACACTCCTCTTCCTCCACCCAAAGCACTCCTCATCCTCAGTCCCAAATGTTCCTCACCCTCAGCCCAAAGTGCTCCTTCCTCTTCCCAAAGGAGGAAGCTCTTTCCAAAGTGCTCCTCATCCTCCACCCCAAACACTCCTCATTCTCAGCCCAACTGCTCCTCTTCCTCTACCCAAAGTGCTCCTCAGCCTGAGCACAAACACTCCTCATCCTCCATCCAAAACACTCCTCATCCTCCACCCAAAGTGTTCCTCATCCTCCACCCAAAGTGTTCCTCATCCTCCACCCAAAGTGTTCCTCATCCTCCACCCAAAGTGCTCCTCATCCTCAGCCTAAACACTCCTCTTCCCCAGCCCAAAGTGCTCCTTCCTCTTCATCTGAAGCGCTCCTCAAGCTCAGCCCCAAACACTCCTCTTCCTCATCCCAAAGTGTTCCTCTTCCTCAGCCCAAGTGCTCCCCATCCTCCACTCAAAGCGCTCCTCCTCTTCTTCCACCCAAAGCGCTCCTTCCTCTTCCTCCGCCCAAAGCGCTCCTCCTCCTCCTCCTCCGCGCCCGTGCCGGTGGTGCGGCGCTCCCGCGTCCCTACCGTGGGGGCTGGCGGTGGCCATGGCGCCGATGGCGTCGCTGGTGATGCAGTAGCTCTGGCTGAGCGTGGGGAAGCGGCGCCGCAGCTCGCGCAGCAGCTTCTCCACGGCCTCGTCCTGCTCGCCGCCGCTCAGCGACAAGCCCTGCGGGGCGGCGGGGCTGGCAGCGCTGCGGGCGCCCGGGCGCGCGCGGGGCGCGCGGGGACACGGCACCCACCAGCGCGCGCAGCGGCACGCGCGGCTCCACGCCGGCCGTGCCCTTGGCCTCCACCACCATCTGGTTGATCCTCTGCAGACACTGCTCGGTGCCGATGAGCTGCGGGCGGGGGGCGCGTGAAGCCCCCGTCCCCGTGTCCCTGTGTCCTCGTGCCTGTCCTCATGTCCCTGTGTCCCCGTGTCCCCGTGCCCGTCCCCGTGTCCCCGTGCCCGTCCCTGTATCCCCGTGTCCCCATGCCCGTCCTCATGTCCCCATGTCCGTCCCCATGTCCCCGTCCCCGTGTCCCCATGTCCCCGTGTCCCGTGCCCATCCTCATGTCCCCATGTCCCCATGCCCGTCCCCGTGTCCCTGTGTCCCCATGTCCCCATGTCCGTCCCTGTGTCCCCACGTCCCCGTGCCCGTCCTTGTGTCCCCATGCCCGTCCCCGTGTCCCCACGTCCCCGTGCCCGTCCTTGTGTCCCCATGCCCGTCCCCGTGTCCCTGTATCCCCACGTCTCCGTGCCCATCCTCGTGTCCCCGTGTCCCCATGCCTGTCCCCGTGTCCCCATCCCCGCGGCCCCATCTCACCCAGTGGTTGGTGCAGGGCCCGTCGCCCTCGGCCAGCACCCGGCCGTCCTCGGACACCAGCACCACCTTGGAGTGGGTGCCCCCGCTGCGGGAGCCGGCGGCCCCTGAGCGCCCGCGTGGGGACACGGCCGCCACCCCGGCCCCGTCACCCCCGGGGGGACCCCTGAGGGCACCCCCAAACCCCCCAGAGCCATGGGCACAGGCGTCTTCCTGGGCTGGACATCGGGGACGTGCTGGCACTGGGGGTGCAGAGGAGCCCTGGGGCACCAGGGGCGGTTTGGGGGTGCACGTACCCCCCTCCCCAGCCCGGGGTTCGGGGGCTCCAGTTCCGCCCCTCCCCGCGCTCCTGGGGCACTTGGGGGCCTGGGGAGGGTCCCCCCGGCCGGGGAACGGGGGCGGTTTGGAGGGGTCCGGATGCCCCCCCATCTGCAGAACGGGGGACAGCCGGGGGGGCTCCGGGCGACGCAGCCGCCGCCCGCGCTCCGGGGGGGCCGAATCCCACCCCCCCCGCGCCGTGTCCGTGGGCGGGTCCCGCCGTCCCTCCAGACCCCTCGATGTCCCCCCGGGTCCCGCGCTGTCCCCCCGGTCCCCGCCGGGTCCCCCCCGGTCCCCGCGCTGTCCCCCCGGGTCCCCGCCGGGTCCCCGCGCTGTCCCCCGGGTCCCGCGCTGTCCCCCCGGTCCCCGCGCTGTCCCCCCGGGTCCCCGCCGGGTCCCCGTCCTGTCCCCCCGGGTCCCGCACTGTCCCCGCGCTGTCCCCCCGGTCCCCGCCGGGTCCCCCCCGGTCCCCGCGCCGCCCGCGCCCTTCACCCCTCCACGCCGCCGAAGACCGCGGCCATGTCGCGCCGCGCCCGGCCCCGCCCGCGGGGAGGGACTTCCCGGTACCGGCGGCGCGGGCGGCACCGCCCCTCCCGCGCCCCGCCCCCCGCCGTCAGCGGCACCGGCACCGGCACCGGGCCGGGGGAGCCGCGCGTTCCGCACCGGACCGGCACCTTCCGGCACCCCCCGGTCCGGCACCCCCGGGACCGCCGGGACCCTCCTCCCTGCCCGGTACCGCCGGGACCTCCCGGCCCGGCCCGGCACCCCCGGGACCTCCCGGTCCACCCCATCCCAGCCCGGTACCCCCGGGACCTCCCGGTCCGCCCCGTTGTGGCTGGCACGGGGGGTCTCCACTGTCTCCGCTCCCCTTTTTGGGGGGAATCCGGCATTTCTGGTGCCCGCGCCTGGAGCAGCGGCTGGGACCAGACCGACCCGGTGGTCCTACCCCCATCCGGACCCCCATGTGTGGGGATGAGGGCAGAGGGATGCAGGGGTGGAGATGGGGGTGGATGGATGTATGGATGTATGTATGGATGTATGGATGGATGGATGGATGGATGGACAGACAGATGGACACATGGGGAAGATGGAGGGGTGGACAGGTGGGAATGATGGCTGGAGGAGATGGTGGTTGGATGGAGAGGGTGGATGGGTGGGGGGGGATGGATGGGTGGAGAAGAGAGGGGCTGGATGGGTGCGAGGATGGAGGGATGGGAACAGCAGGGTACTTGGGTGGATGGAGGAGAGGGAGACACGGTTCAGAGGATGGAGGGATGGAGGAGACGGAGGTGGGCTGGGAGGATGGAGGTAGGCAGGCAGGATGGGTGGATGGAGGGATGGAGGCAGGTTGGGTGGCTGGAGGATGGAGGGATGGACACAGGCTGGGTGGCTGGAGGGATGCAGGCAGGCTGGGAGGATGGAGAGATGGACACAGGCTGGGTGGCTGGAGGGATGCAGGCAGGCTGGGAGGATGGAGGGATGGAGGGATGGACACAGGCTGGGTGGCTGGAGGGATGCAGGCGGGCTGGGTCTGGGATGCAGAGAGGAGAGGATTGCGCAGACAGTGTTTGGAGGGACAAGCGGGCGCGTGGCCGGGCTGATGGAGGCAGGGAGGACCCGGCTGGGGGTGAGGCCGGGAGGGTGGCGAGGGGGAGGCCGGGCCGGGGGCGGCACGGGAAGGGTTAAGCTGCACGTGGGGTGGTGGAGCCCCCAGCCCCGCTCCCTCCTTAAGCCCCTCCTGGCACCAGCCTGTCTGTCCCGGGCGGCGCCGGCGCCGGGACGGGGCCTTTGTCTCCAGGCAAGTTGGGGCCGCGGTGAGTGCGCCGGGATGGGGACACTGCCGGGATGGAGACATCGCCGGGATGGGGACACTGCCGGGATGGGGACATTGCTGGGATGGGGACAGTGCTGGAATGGGGACACCGCCGGGATGGGGATGGGGACACCGCGGGGATGGGGACAAGGGGACGGTGCTGCCGTGGGTGCCGTGGATGTCGGGCAGCTTTGGGGGCAGGAGCAGCCGTGTCTGCATGGGAGCCGCTCCTGCTGCATGTGGGAATGGGGACGGAGGAGGATGGGGACAGTAGGAGGATACAGATAGGGATGGGGATGGAGGAGAATGGGGACAGTAGGAAGATGGATAGAGATAGGGATAGGGACAAGGACAGGGATGGGGATGGAGAAGGATGGGGACAGGAGGAGGATGGGGATGTAGGGACAAGGACTGGGATAGGGATGGGTGAAGGAACATGAGGTGGCGAAGAATGGAGATGGGGATAAGGATAAGGATGGAGGCAAGGCATAGGATAGAGACTGGGATAGGGATGTAGATGAAGATGGAAATAGGAGTGAGGATGTGGATGGAAATAGGGACAGGGATGAGGATGAGGATAGGGATGAGGATAGGAATGGAGACAGGGAGAAGAATGGAAATAGGGCTAGCGATATGGACAGGAACGAGGATGGGGATGGAGACGAGGATGAAGATGAGGATGAGGAAGGGAATAAAGGTGCTCTGCAGGCAGCAGCGCGGCGAAAGCAGCAGCGCGGGGAGCTCGGCCGGGCCGGCGGCAGCGACGCCGCGTTGGAGACGGGCTGGGGGGCCGCGAGACGCCGCGCGGAGCTTCCCGGGCACCAGGGCGCTGCTTGGAGAGGCCGGAGAGGCCGGAATGCGCCAGGCACCCGGCTCCTGGGTGCTGTGCCAGAGCCTGGCCGGCAGTGACATCCTGGGTGCAAATCCGGGTGCTGCTGCCGCTCGGCGCCCCGTCCGTCGGTCCGTGCGGCAGCTCCGGTGGCTTCTGCTCCGGAGAATGAATGAAAGCATTCCCCCTCCACCCATCCCTTCTGCTGGGAGCGGGGCTGGAGCGGGGCTGTGCGGAGCTCCATGCAGCCCCCCGGGTAAGTCGCTCGCGGAGGCCGTCGGCAGCTCCAGGTGCCCTGCTCGGGTGCGGGCGGAGAGGGAGCTAATTGATAAAAATGATGATGGTGATGATGGTGGTGGTGATAGAGTCCTGGTGCACTGAGCCGAGGGGCAGCCTGAGCGCCGTGGGTCGGGACCCATACGGGGCTGCTGCAGCTGCTCGCAGGGTTTTGGAGGAAGATTCGGGTGGTGACAGTGGGTTCCCCCATCCCGCGTGCCCTGGGTTCCTGCACGGGGGCGCGAGGCTGGATTGCAGCCGCTGCATTGCAACTGGTGGGGATGTGAGGCTGGATTGCAGCCGCTGCATTGCAACTGGTGGGGGTGTGAGGCTGCATTGCAGCCGCTGCATTGCAACTGATTTGGGTGTGAGGCTGGATTGCAGCCGCTGCATTGCAGCTGATTTGGGTGTGAGGCTGGATTGCAGCCGCTGCATTGCAGCTGATTTGGGTGTGAGGCTGGGCTGCAGCCGCTGCAGCGGCAGCTTTGCATTGCAGCCGGGGCGTAGGGCTGCTTTGCAGCCACGGTGTTGCAACGCGGCTGGGTGTAATGCTGGGTTGCAGCCGCAGCTTTGCAATGCGGCGGGGGTGCGGGGCTGCTATGCAGGCGCAGCGTTGCAATGCAGTGAGGACCCAAGGCTGTTTCACCTGCAGCTTTGCAGTGCGGCGGGGGTGCGGGGCTGCTATGCAGGCGCAGCCTTGCAATGCAGTGAGGACCCAAGGCTGTTTCACCTGCAGCTTTGCAGTGCGGCGGGGGTGCGGGGCTGCTATGCAGGCGCAGCATTGCAATGCAGTGAGGACCCAAGGCTGTTTCACCTGCAGCTTTGCAGTGCGACGGGGTGCAGGGCTGGGTTGCAGCTGCAGCGCTGCAAGGCGGCTGGGTGCAAGGTTGGTTTGCAGCGACAACGTTGCAGTGCGGTGGGACTCCAAGGCTGTTTCACAACCACAGCTCTGCACAGGGCTAGTCTGCAGCCACAGCATTGCAGCGCAGTGTGGGTGCAAGCCAGGTTGCAGCTGCAGTGTTGCAGTGCGGCGGGGCTGCTGCTACAGCGCTGCAGGGCAGCTGCAGCTCCGCAGCAGCGAGCGCGGGGTGACAACGGTGCCCGGAGCACCACGGTGGCCACGCGGCCTGGCCCGGGCAGCGGAGCGGCTGCATGGGGAACGTCCCTGCACGGGGAGCGACGCTCCGCGCTGGGAGCAGGTCCCGTCTGCGCTCGGTGGCATCCCCAGCCGTGACACTGCAGCACCTGCGGCGGAGCAGGGCAGGGACGGGGACAGGGACAGCTGTGGGGACAGGGACGAGCCCTCCAAGCCAGCACCACGCAGGGTCCCACCGTGGTGCCCGCTCCAAATCCCCGTTGCAGCAGATCCCAGCTGGAGCAGAAAGCGGCGGCCGCTCGGCGCTGGCGCCGCCGTCCCCGTGCCCCCCTCTGCCTGCCCCGCGGCGCCCCGCGGCGCGCGGCCGCTCGGCGCCGCCGTCCTCACGCGCTTGACCTATTTAGCCGGTGTCTGTGCAAGCCGGCCGGGGGCCAGGCGGGAAAGCGAGTTAATGAAGCTCGCGGGAGGGGGGGATTTGCGCATCCCGTGGGATTTGGAGCCGCGCTGGCGTCAGCCGGCCGGGGCAACGGTGCCCGCCAGTCCGGCACTGGTGCCACCCCCTCGGCGTGAGGAGGCTGCGTCATATGGGACACTGGAAAAGCCACTGCTGGGCAGAGGGGGCAAGTTTGGGGCCGGCTCTGCCCCACTGGCGTCAGGGGCCCTTAAGCCCCTTGCGAGGCGCTAAGAGGGATTAGCGGGTCAGGCGGGCCCAGCTAATCCCGGCATGGCCACTGCCGGGCCCGGCCTGGCAGGAAT